TATTATGCTGCACATTTATGGCTTTATGAAGCATACACAAGCTTAATCTAATTTATAAAAAATTGTAAACAAAATGATAGCATGAAGCCAGCATTTCCTCTACAAAACAACAATTCTAATTTATAATTGAGGTCAGAATAAATAGCTAGTATGGGTAGATGCTTAAAAATAGGAGTATACATTGATGAAACAATTGTTTAAAAGATATCTTCCCCATTAATATAGAGTAGAAAGTGTGGTTAAGACATGTTACAGAAACCTCATGTTAAGGCTTCATAATGAAAGTGAGCAAGAGTAGAGGTTTTGATAATAATGCGTTTTCAGTCATATTTTAAGAAACAAAAATTAAATTACCAAGGAAAAACAGTATGTTAAAAAAAATAATATGAATACCCTCAGTGGGATAAACTAATGTGGTATAAATATTTTAAAATTATTTTTACTTGAACAGCTTGAAATTAGAAGATAATTCAAATGTTTCATTTTAGACTAAATTTGAGATTATTTAGTTTTGGTTTAAAAATCCTGAAGTGGTGGAGAAAGAAAAACCACATCAAATAAGAGCAATCAGAAATTGAAGATTCAGATACTCTGTTAAATTCTTTACAAAATACTCCTTGTATCGTTACATACGTAGAGTGTGTTAGCATGCACTGCAAAACAATTGTTTGTTAGATCGGATTACTTGTCATGCATAGCTGTGTTAGTACGCCACTGTCTAAATAAACCAGAAGAGCAAGGAACATCAGCTTCGGACAAATTGTCAATTTTCTGAGAGCTCTTTCTGGTACCTATGGCAGTGCTACTGTAGCAACAGAGGACTAAGCAATATTACTTGGTTGGATGAGGTTGCTTATCAACACAGTAAGCTAGTAATGTCTTGCTCTGAGAACGAGAGATGTACATTTTACAGAAGATGTTTAAAGGTTTCAAAGGTTAAAGGAAAAACAAGATAGAAAGAGGCCTATTCCTGCAGTAAAGCACTACATGTGCTTCGGCAAAGCTTATGAGCTTTAATTAACTTCCTCTAAAAATCAGAGGAATATTTCACAATAATTGATTGTCTTGATAACTTAACCATAGCAAGAAAACGTAGAATGAATGGCCAAAGAGACTCTTGATCTTTTCTTCTCCCACTATGGCCTTATGTTATTTAATATATAGGAGACCCTTTCCAAGGAAGAAATCTTCAATTAGAAACAAAGAGTAGAATTCATCTGAAATTCTTCAGTATTCTGAAACTCCTGACAGAAAGAAGGATCTTATGACAAGGTAATATCAAAACCACTTGATGCAATAAACTAAGTACTTTTGGAATATATTGTTCAAAACTTATTTCTGGAAGAGAATTTCAATAAAACCTCAAATAAAAATCCCTACCCTTCACCTTTGCTGTCAATCTCTTTACTCTTTTTAGATGTTTTCTTCCACATCAGTTACTACTTTGAATTCCTTCTTCAGGATCAGATAGTTGAGTGTACCTAATTCCAAAGCAAACCATGAGAAGTTTAAGGCCCTGCTTTCACAGCTTTTCCTATTCTACAGTAATGCTTCAGCATGTCTAAAGATGAATTTATATTTTCCTCATAAATCTTACTGTTTCTACATAAGTAGCATCTCATTTTTGCAGAGGAATTTTATCTCAAAAATATTATTATAATAATATAATAATCTTATATACATATTACATGTTAACATAAGTTCAAAAGTAATACAACACACTTTTACCAGCAGACCTAGTACACTCTTCTTCTTAGATGCTCTAGACTTACATGATATAAAAAAGAAATTACATTGCCACCAGTCAACTTTTCTACCCTCTTCAGCAAATTATTTAGAAAAGAAACTTCTGAGACACAAACACAAGGTGACACATTTATATTAAACGGAAGATTTAAAAAAGTTACTGCTCTCAACTCATAAGATGAAAAGTAAGAACCAAGTCACAAGAAATGAACTGCATTGCTCT